AGACATATACATAGATATAACTTTATATCTAAACATTTAAATGCTTAAAAAGAAATACAAACATTTTGTAGTTGTAATGTGCTAAATTCGTGCTAAATCAAAGTTTGTGTGTCTTATCGGAGCATGGCCCCTATGCAAATTATACATTATAACTATAAGTCAATTGAGAAAAATCGTCCAATTCTTAGACACATACGTCTAATATACATATTCATATACAGTATATTTAATATAACGTGTAATTTACCCTTGAGGCTTTAGTTTTACTGTGCCAAATAGAAAAGAAAAAACATTCTTTACTATCGCTAATCATAATCATAATCAAAGTTTGCCCAGCAGCAAATCATATTCTGACAGTAAAAATTGAGAATACAAATCTAATATGAAGTCGAGCCAAAAATAAGTGGACGACAGCCACATGAAGCTTTGTTCGGTTCGGCTCGGTTCGCCAGTTCAACGCAATTTGTAATATAGATTTCATAAATATTTGTAATATAGAGACTCATATGATCGAGCACGAAAAATACCTGAGATAAGCAACGATACGAAAGCCGTTGAATAGCGTCATAAATCGCAGCTGTACTTGGGGAATAGCACAGCTTGTTGTCTGTTCGTATCTGTTGCTGTATCTCGATAATTTACAATCGGCTATCAGAAATGCCCGCATTGACAGCTGAAGATCAGTTGAGCGGACAGACATCGGTTATCGCCTGAATCTATCGGTATTTATGACTCTAACCATTTGCATTGTTTACGGCTCTCGGCAGGGATCGCTTTCGTAGCCGCAGACGTGCTTCAATCGCCCCGCTGCCCGCCCTCCGTCTCAACAGCCGGGAGATGTTGGCCAGCGACTTTGATACCCACAGCTTGGCCAGCAATCAGGCCTCGATCACAAGCGTCAACTCCTTGGCGAGTTTGCTTCGCGAGAAGATGCAGGTGAGTTCAGAGAGAGGGAGGAAGGGAGAAAATGACAGGCCGAGAGATGAGAGAGAGGTAAATGGAGAAAGAGGTAGAGAGATTAACCGTCAGATTGAGTGAGAGTCAAAGAGAAGAGTAAGAAATAAGGAAAGAGAGAGAAAGAGAGAGATCTTTTCGACTCTCTTCTATTGTCAGCACTGTCTTCAGTTTATTGAGGAGAACTAGAAATAAGGAGACTGAAATGGGAAAATAGAGACAGAATAAGAAAAAATGACAGGCGAGATTATGGGAGGAAAGGAGACAGAGAGAGAAGGTGAGAAGAAAGGAAGAGGATCCCAAATGATGATAATAAGGCATTGAGAAAATTCGAGTCAGAGAGAGATTGACAGAAAGACACATTTGGAAGGAACGAAGAATGAGAAACATATTACTGAAAGAGAATGCATACGAGGAAAGAGAGGGAGAGTTTTTTTTATGCAAAGGTAAACAGTCTTCATAAGAAAGAAATAAGTATAAGGATAAGACTAGGTAAGAAAAATTAGGTGCATTCCACTGTCGTGATTCAGAATGTGTAAACACCCCCAAGAGCACCCTCTGTGCACCTGAAATTGGYTATATTAGTGAATGAATGAATGGCATTTTGAGTGATATGTGGAATGCAGCTAATTGGTGGTACTTAATCAAAATTCGCTGACAGGCCTTCCCACAGCTGATACGCAAGAAGAAGCGCGAAACGAAGGACTACAAGATCAAGATCTTTGTAATTATGATGTTCTTCATCATAATCTTTCTGGTGAGTACTAGTTGCAGTTGAACTCCCAGTCGCATGGTTCTTTGGACTCATCAAATGTTCTACTTAGATTGGCTATGCGTATGTGGCGTACCATCATCAGGTGCTGACCAGGAGCTATTTCCAGAAGCTCAAGTTCAACTCGAAGGATCGCATCTTTCGCATACTGAGCCACGAGGACAAGGAGGTCATCATGGGGCATTTGGGCGTCACCCTGGACAGCGACACGGCGCCCTTCCACTGCCTCGAGAACCAGCGCCGAGCCGATGGCAGCGTCTGCATCGAATGGAATGGCATCGCCCGCCTCCATCTGAACTTCGAGGATAAGCAGGTGTTCCGCTGCTACACGCTCCAGTGGCAGGCACTGCGGCCGGGTCTGCTGCCCACCGATTGCTACGAGCTGAAGCGGGACAACGGACTGTGGTTTGGCGGGGGCATAACCAAGGGCCAGGAGTGGTCCCTCAGCTACGCCAACTTCGACTTCAAGCCCTATGCCAGCGGCGACCACAAGGTGCATCAGTTTGGCAACGCGGTCAAGCGCTACTTCATCAACTCGATCGGCGTGGCGATGCAGGTGAGCGAGCGCACACCGCTCCAGCTGGGCATCAATCGGACGGAGAATCAGTTCTGCCTGCGGGCGGCCAACGACGACTTTACGTTCGTGAATCGCCTGACGCCGCTGCCTCAGCTGGATTACAAGATATGCACCACGGAGGACATGCGCAGCCTGCACATGCTGATGACACAGCAGAGCCTGTGGGACGGCCTCACCGAGCAGGACATCAGCGAGCTGCACTCGCTGCTGGAGGAGCCTGTGTGGCGCATACCCAATCAAGAGCAACGCGACCATCTTAACGAGTCCGTCATTTGCGACTACTCGGAGAACGCGATCGCCATGGGCTTGGGCCACATTGTGATCAACGAGTTCTGGCAGGAGAACATTGGGGACTTCACGGTGGATCGGGCACGCTTTCCCACGCTCAAGGACACCATCGATGTGCTGCATCGACGTGGCTTCAAGGTCGTCTTCACCATCCAGCCATTCATCAGCACGGACAGTCCGAACTTCAAGGACGCCGTCGCCCGCAAGCTGCTCATCTATGAGCGCTACTCGGAGCGCAGCATTCCAGCCCTGACTCGCTACAAGAGCAGCTCCAGTGCCGGCGTTTTGGATATTACGAACAATGCGTCGGTGCCGTGGCTGCTGGAGAAGCTGCAGCGGCTGAAGGATGAGTACGGCGTGAAGAGTTTCTACCTGGACCTGGGCACTGGCTACAATCTGCCGCACTACTATCAGTGCCGGCAGCCGCTCGACAATCCGGACATGTATGCCCGCATGCTGACCAGCAGTCTGGAGAGCGCCGGGCTGATGGCCGTGTCAACGGCCAGCGTGGTGCCCAAGCCGCCGACGTTCCTCAGCACGCCGCCGGCGAACGCAACGTGGGCGGGGCTGCGGGAGACATTGGCGGCGGTGCTCAACTACGGCGTCATTGGCTATCCGTTTGTGCTGGCCGGAGCGATTGGAGGCGACTTTTTGCTGGAGCGTCCGTTGACCAAAATGATCTCGTTCTATTCGCTGGGACAGCCGCCACTGCCGGACGCCGAGCTCTTCATACGCTGGCTGCAGCTGGCCACTTTCCTGCCGGCCATGCAGTTCAGCCACCTGCCGGACGAGTACCACAGCGAGCTGGTCACACGCGTCGCCCAGGAGCTGAAGGAGGTGCGCCAGACGGTGGTCATAGCGCTGCTCAAGAAGTATCTCAGCCCATCCATGAACGAGGGACTGCCACTGGTGCGTCCACTGTGGATGCTCGATCCCCACGATCCCGCCTGTCTCATTGTCAGCGATGAGTTCTCGGTGGGCGAGGAGCTGATTGTGGCGCCCATACTGGATGCGGGTCTCGAGGAGCGTGAGGGTGAGTAAGGCTAGCTAACAGTCATTAAATAAAGTCTTTTGAACCTTGCCTGCCCTTTCAGTTTATCTGCCGCAGGGCGTGTGGAAGGATGGCATCGATGGTTCCCTGCGCAAGGGCAGTCGCTGGATGCACGGCTATCGCGTGCCCAAGGACAAGATCGCCTACTTTCGCAAGATGCCGGACAATACGCGCTTCTAGTTCCAGACCCAGTTCCAGTTGCAGCTCAACATCATTCCCCTTCTCTCACTATTATGATTGTTTATTATTCTTATCTCAATATACAATCTATAAATATATATATAAATATACGCTCATAGATAATACTACATCATGTATAAACAAATGTTGCCTAAACGATAGGCTTAGTTCCTAGAAACAATTTTTTTCCAACTTTTTTTTTTTTTTTTTTTTTTTGCAACATTTTTGAGTTTTTTAGTTCATTTTTAGTTTTTGTGGCTGGCTTTCATTCAAGCCATAATTAACAG